ATTTTTGTGACAGCTGTTTCAATTAAACAAGTTGGTTCTGTTCTATGATTTTCAATAGCATTAAAGTTACAAGGATTACCAACAGGGTGCAGCACTATTATTTTTTTAAATTTATGACAGCAGCTAACTTGCAACTAAAAGGTGAGTGAGCGTAGCGAACGAACTTCAACCTGGAGGCGAGTTAGCGTAGCAAACGAGCTAACCTGAAGGCAACGTAAAGGTGAGTGAGCGTAGCGAACGAACTTCAACCAGGACGTGATTGAGCCATGCGAACGAGCTCACTTATGAAGTCAAACGGGACAAAGCCCGCGGGTACAGCTAGTAGGAGATAAAGTAATTCTGTAGTTGATATATATGGTTGATATATAGTTGATATTTTCATGACAATATTTGTAGGTGGTTTTAGGTTAAACAACAATTCATTTCCTTCCATATATTTAGAAGAACATGTAAGTGCTCGTTAAACCAAATGTTTTTATATTAAATAAATCAGGCATGTTTAATAAAATCGTTTGTAAAAATGTAAATATGCAAATGGAAGATGGTTTGCTGCAGTAGGGGTCACGTCCTACAAGCTGACCTTCAAACTTAAACAAAATATAAAGCTTGACCAAACTAATAAGCTCTATATAAATTTCAACCTCAATACCAAGAACAACAAAATTGCCTATTAACAAGAGTACAACAAAATCAACCACTGATAGGCATAGACAGTCAAAACTACTGATTTATGTGCGGGCAAAACCAGCCCGTCCCGCGCAATTGTGAAAGCGCACATAACAGCCCATGATCTAAAAACTATTCATGCGGTTTCGACCCGCATTGGAAGTTTAGGTTCGTGCGGGTGATTTTTCAACCCGGACAGGTGTTTAGGTCTGTCTGGGTCAACCCGCACTGGTGTGAAAGCTCCCATATGATTCAATAGTCTAAACAGCTTCGTCCGGTGGGGCACGGTCCCGCACCGCGCTGGTGTGAAAGAAGGCTTAAGGCCTATGAGCAGTAATCAAAAGGTAAGTATTTCAAATGTATATAACCAAGCCGAAATTCGCTGCTTGCGACTACTCTTAAAAACAAAGTTTGTTAGGATTTGCACTGCTTGTATCGTTTAAGAAAAATCAATCAGCTTGGGTTATAAAATTATTTAGAAGCTTTGTCCATGAGGGAATCAAGCTCAGCGTTAATTTCGTAAACGTTTATTCCATATTGCTTGGCCTTTTATTAAGTCACTAAGGAAGGCAACAGGTATATCCTGCGATCACAAGAACATCGCAGTTATCCCAAACGATCACAGCAAATTTGTCGTCATCTCCCACTATTACGGCAACGCTGTTTATTATCATCTCTTGCGATCTCTGATACAATGTGGTAATTTACCGAAAACGCGATTTAAGAGACACAAAAACAATACGTGATAAGTAACTGATGGCGACTCGTTACAGATTGCTTTAGTGGATATTATAAAATGTAAATTTCTCTTTTCGCACAAAGTATTCATTTGGTTTGGGCACAAAAGTCCCAGGTATTTCCCTAGTCATTAAAGTTCAATTTTAGTACTTAGTTTTTTCGATCACCCTGGTCGCAAAAAACATGCTCATTTTATTTGGAAAATGAATTATTGTTTGATTTTCATTTGAATATCCCTAGTTCTTCCGTTAAATGTAATCCGTTTAGAGTTAGTGTTGAGCAGAATTTATATTGTAAAAATGTTGTAAATAACTGCTTTAAGGTAACCATTGAATATTACAATAATTAAGGTTTATTATAAAATCATTGTGTAATGAGTTCGCAGTGCGGGAATTCAGTGAATTTTTGAGACCAAATCGGTTCTGAGATGACCGGAAACCCTGTCACTCACTTACTTGTGAGCGATTTGTTGGTCTACGAAGAATCATTACCGAAGGTCATGGCTCTTACAATAATCCCTATATCTTCAGGCCTGCATTGTTGTTTGATTAATAGCCTCTTAGAAAAAGCGTTGACCTATGATGTGTACTGTGATTGTGGCTTCGTCTTGTGTATTTTCAAAAATTGAAGGAGATTAAAAGTTAAATTTTATGATCAGGTTTTATGTTATTAGATAATAGTGTATAAAAAGTATTACAGTAAAAACAAACTAAGCAATAATGCATTCAAGTTGTTTAAAGAAAATTAATAAAATATGCATATAGCCCGAGGCGAAGTAAAGTGGCGAAGCCAGATTTTTGGATAATCTCTTCACAATTATAGTTCCTTGGTACAATCACTATTCTGTACAGGTTTGAAAATCCAACATATGTCACTGTAGAAGGCATTCTCTACTACTTCATTTTCATAATACCAATTAAGATTATCGAGTGGGTGGGGGGTACAATTCCAGCCCGTACACAAGCCAAGCTAGCTGTCCAAGAGGGGGGTACAATTCCGGGGGGTACAATTCCACCCCGTACACATTTGGCTTTCTGATGGGGGGTACAATTCCAGGGGGGTACAATTCCACCCCGTACGTAAATATTTTTATGTTGGCAGGGGGTACAATTCCGGGGGGTACAATTCCAGGGGGGTACAATTCCGGGCCGTACATCTCCTGCTCTTTTTAATATCTAATATAATTATCCGGTTCACTGATCACTTGCCCACATTAAATAGATTAGATTTCGTTAAAATCAAAGTGTACGGGGTGGAATTGTACCCCCTCTAGGCGTGACGTCAAAATGACGTCAACGATCGCCGGGGGGTACAATTCCAGGGGGGTACAATTCCGGCGACCCATTAAACAGTCTCCTCTGCTTTAAATTACGGTAGGGTATCTAAAAAACCATTGCTTTCACGGAGCATAAGTAAACATTTCGTGACGATTGGTTTGTGTTATTATTAGTCTCTGCTCATCAAACAACTTGTAATCAACAAGCTTTGAGCTAAATATAAATAGTTTTACTTCCCTGAGATCTACACACACACACAAACTTCCATACGCTTACATCGAGATGCCTTTATAATGTGAAGGATTCTGTTCGTGTCAGCATCACATTCACCCAGTGACAAAAATAAATGGAGAACTTTGATAAACGGCGTTTCTGTTGCCCAGATTTAGAATTGAATTCGCTATGCTTTCACAAATATGATAAAGGTTATTGTTCCATAACCAAAACCGACCACCATTAAATAAAGACACTCTTCTCTAACGTGGACACATTATTTTTTTTATTGATGCATTCTTCTTCTAAGCATCAGTTCACGGTGGTTTTCAACATTTTCTCGTGCTGAAACGATTTATAATTTAAAAATGGACCTTCCTTGTTTGTTTTTAATTAAAATTTGGAATGAAAATTACAATGTGAGACGCTTCTCCTATTCAAACGGGTATGAAAACTCGTTGAATATAGCTTTAAAACGACCCTGGGTTTAAAGGGTCAAACTGCCGACCTTCCGAATAATAACTTAGGTAAACCTTCAAAGATTTAGTTAATTCTAACTCATTAGTCCTAAACGGCTACATTAGTCCGCCATTTTGGATTTTTGGAGGGGGTTAAAACTTCATAATGAGCGAAGTCAGTTACACATCGGGATATGTGTATAGTTATTTAGATATAAAATGTATATTAATATTGGTAATTAAAATTCAATATGTTTGAAACTAATTAAATAACACCAGGTGAATTCGCTGATTTTCTATTCATATAGTCATTGATTCAATGCTTTAGTTTTCTCGCATATCTCCCGGAGCCTCGGCATATTGAAACCTCCTTGTCTCAATGGCCTCCTTTTTCTCCAAATTGTACCTGAATACTCTTCTTCTCATTCTTTCCTTAACGGAACTAATTCCAAAATCTGAGAGAGTCAGCCTAGCTCCATTCTGTCTGCATCCTCAAATCTTAAATTTTTTCACAGTTTAATTTATTTCTAACAAAATTGTTTCTTAGCCTCCTTGTCACATTTAATTCAAGTGATGAATTTTCCTCGGTCTTCCATTCCATGCAGTATGTACCCATATGTATGCAAGTATGTATGTATGCTTAAGTATGCTTTTATTATTCTGTATTCGAAAATAGCCCATTTCCATACTATATTTACTATATAAGTATATCTATACAGCTGAGATCTTTAACAAATAGTGATCAGCTGACTTTTCCTGACATAAACAATACTTTCGCTACATAAACATTACTTTTGCTACACAAACAATACTTTGCCTGACTTCATAAAAGTTACAATCAACTGAACTTTACACTAAAATTTATTGTACAGCTGTATTGTGTTTAGATTAGAAAAGTGAGATTACGAAGTATCAGATAATTTAAGTTTGATGAAGTAGTATTTTTTTCATCGTGATAAAAAGTGTCGTTCAATACTCGTCACTAAAGTCACATTTCGGGGTGAGATAGTGTTTTACATGCGAGTCTTGGTAGTGAAATATACTATTTCATCACTCTGTATTCGAAAATAGCCCATTTCCATACACCAAACACAAATAGTAATCAGCTGACTTTTCCTGACATAAACGGTACTTTTGCTACACAATCAATACTTTGCCTGACATCAACAAAGTTACAACTGAAGAAAAATGAATAGATTACAAAATATCAGATATTTTCTTAAGTTTGATGAAGTAGTTTTTTTATCTTGATAAAAAGTATCGTTCAATATTCGTCCCGAAAGTCCCATTTCAGGAAAAGGAAAAAGTTGCCGGATTGATCCTGAGAAAAGTCAGTTGCTTTTTGATGCTTCAAAACTGGATCTAGCTCCCTGATCCTAGGACTTTAAATAAATTATCCTGGCTGATGAAACTGAAGCAGTGGACCTTGGTTCGTCGTGACAAATCTGCACAGATCATCTCACACCATTCTATACTTATATTCGGGTTAAAATACAGACATAGGTGGCGTACCATCTCAATTGATACTGTGATGATATTCAAAACTCCTTTGAACTAGCACCTATCACACATTTATTAATCCTACCAATGACTACATACCATGATTTTAAGGTACATAGGCAATGATCATAAATCATCTGATTCACAGCCCAGAGGCATACAATTTACCCCTAGAGTATACAAAGCTGGTGGCAGAATGCAGCAGACAGAATCAAGGGGAGAGTCAAGGCCAAGGTCATGCTGATGTCTGGATCTGCAAGCCTGTAGGGCAGAGTCAGGGCAGGGGCATCTCCATCTTCAAGGTAAATTATTCCTTTGAAATTATAGTCACAGCTTATGGTTATAGCAACTCTCTGTACTATTAAGTGACTCAATTTGTCATTTGTAGACTTTTGTGGCCTGTGTTAAAATCCATTGATTTTCTTCACCATCAACCATTTCGTCAGATGAAATTAAGTAAGTCGAACGTCTATAAGGCAAATTTCAAGGGGTAGGGGGAAAATTTGTATTATCGAGGTTTAAAAATGCCTTTATTCGTCTTATAGTTGTTCTTCCTCGCTCTGACAATTACCGGGAAGGAAGAGGGATGGGTGGGTGTTTCATGTTGAGACAAGCTACTGTTTGTTTCGAAAAGTACGTACTATGGAGGTAAAGATCAGGAAAAATTTGTCTTACTCTTATAGAGGTCGCATTCCTCTTGTAGAGGTTTTGTGCTAAGAATATCTGTTGTATAGAGTCAGTACATCAGTCCTAGCCCATGTCACAAACAAATTTGTCTTAAGGAGGTTTTAATCTAATCTAATTACATGTTGTATAGAGGAGTTTTTAGCAGTGACCTCTACGCGTTTCGAGGGGATTTAAAAAATCGTCTTATCGAGGAATTTGTTTTACCAAGGTTCGTACTAACGAGGTTCGACTGTAGACTGTTCAATAGTGCCCTTTGCTGTGAAGTTACATAATCAAAAGATAAGGTTTGAGAGTAGAGAATCATTATGGTTTGGGATATCACTGTAGATTGCAAAACATCTGGCACTGAATTTCATCCAGCAACACAGTTGACATTAAGAAATCAATGAATAATTCAAGAGATTTTGTTTGAAAAACATTCGTCCAAGCTGGAGCCCAATGTTATTGTACGTACTCAATTAGTGATGAGCTGCCTTTTTTACAAAACGAAATTACCTCAGAATTCTCTTGTTTGATTTCAGAAGCTGAGTGAGCTAGTTTACTATTCCAATGCGGTAGTTCAAAGATACGTACAGAACCCACTTCTGATTGGAGGATACAAGTTTGACTTGAGGCTATATGTTTGTGTGCCTTCCTTTCGTCCACTTACAGTCTACTTGTATAAGGAAGGATTAGCTAGGTGAGACATGTCAGCAATCATAGTGTGCAGAAGTGAGAGAATATGTTTGTAAAAAATAAATCCCTGATCCTGCTAAATGGATTTCAATTAAAATTAGCTTCCTCAGTTTGGAATGCATGTTTAGAAATCTTTTTTGAAAAATTCATCCAGGGCTCTCCATGGACCTTTCAAGTTTCCACACCACCCTTACTGATATAAAATTCTACATAGGTTTATAAAAGCTATGACATAAAGGGCAATAACAAAATTGTTATATGTGTTCAAAATTAATTTGATAATTGAATTTGTTGTGTTTGCATTTATTTTTCAACATTTAGTTTTTGTATACGATATGCATTTTAGTAAAGCACTGTTATATAAAACCTAAAACATTTCATAGATTAGTTTCTCAGTTTGTCTATTATCTGTTGTGCCTCAGTTAAATATGGAAAAACAGATAAGTTTAAGTGTTTTTAACTTTAAAATAATATTCTACAGTCAATATTTTTTTCCCTATAAGCCACCTCAATATTATTTTTTTATTTTATTTTTTTTTAAAGACGTTGGCGGCGTCTTTTAACCTTGCATTTTCCCGTCCACATAGACTTACCGCCCGTGCGTGGATTGTACAGTACAAGGTGAACTGTACTGATAAAATTCTTTCGACAGTGACCAGGATCCAAACCCACGACATCGCTGCCTTGGGCCCGAAGTCCGTGACGCTACCGACTCACTAAAATATTTAAGATCCAAGACCTTAACAAACCTAACTGCTTTAAGTTGGCTGAATCATAAACCTAAACCAAGGGCCTTAATATTTTTTGTAAATTTTAGGTTCAAAGTTGGATACACTTAACAGAGAAACATTTGTAATGTGCTTCAACTAAGTGGTTTATAAACTGATACTTTTGCCTCAAATAACAAGCTAATAGTATTGAGGAAAGTGCTACTAATATTTTTATTTTCTTCAGGTTTGGCACTGAGAAGTTTTCTCTCAATGACTTAGACAACCATTTTGCTCATCTGACAAACAGTTCACTCAACAAGCTCGGTCCCCGCTACACCGAGATGAAGGAAAGAGTTGGTGCTGGTAAGATGGAAAATTAATATTTTATAAGAACAGAAACAAATTTAAGTGCTTTCCAAAAAATATTAGAGACAAGAAGACAACAACCTCAAGTTTCCATAATGCCATGAACAAATTTGTAAATCCATGCTTCTATAGTCTTCCTCACATTCAACAAGAAATGTTTTGATAAAAGTGGTGCCATCCTCAAGGCTGAATTTGGAAATAAAATTGTAATTTTCTCATCTTCAGCAGAGGAAAGTTTCTTTTAAACACTGAAAAAGTAAATTAACCTACTATACGACACACCTATAACACACCTAAGTACACACCTATACGACACAAGCACACTATATATTTACCTTTAAACATTTATAAACAGTAAAATTCTTTAGACAAAAAACCAAGCAGATGTAAGGTTTAAGGTTAACTCTGATTTAGTCTTACTGACAAACTATTGTAAAACCAAAAACCCTCTCTTCTTCTTCTTGATCATTGAGATTATAACTTTTGATTTTGCAAGGTACCTGAGTATGGATATGATGCTTCCGTGGTTGTCTAAATTTTGCTTGATTAGTTCTGCTAAGAGTCAAAAGCATTTTGATGGTTCAGAACTTGACCCAACTGTCATTGATCATTGGTCTTTTAATAAATAATGGTCCTTGCTAAAATCCAACTGATCTTAGTCAGTCACAAAGCTAACACCCATCCAACATTCAACCTTCACTCATCTTTTGCCTTAAAATATGCACCCTGATTTGTCACTGACATACGTTTCTAATTTAAGGAATCAGTTGGTCCCACCCACTATTTATAATCATCTTCCCTTCAACATTGTTATTTTGCTTACAGGATGCAAATGGAGTCTAAGACAGCTGAGGCACTACCTACACCAATCCGGCCTAAAGGACTGGTTGCTGTGGCAGAGGATATCTGCTCTAGTAGTACTAACAGTGGCCAGTCAACTCCACGGCATCCCTCCGAGCAACAACTGCTTTGAGTTCTACGGCTTTGACGTTCTCGTGGACTCCTCGCTTCGACCTTGGCTGCTGGAGGTAAAGGGAGACAGGTTTGAATAATTGTCGTTAATGTTATCGAGGGTCCGGATTGTTATTCATGTAACTGCAACTCGGATGTTTTTTAGCCTATGGTGCACTCTCATGACAGGAACTCATCCCTCATAAGATCCTAGATCCCTTACTGATCTTTAGAGTTTCTTTATAATTTTCCCTGGCCTTCTCTTTGATCTTTACAACTTATACCAAGAATCTGTGCAAATACCTAACAGACTGGGCATCTAAACAGTATGTGAAAGGTTGTTTCCTCCATACTTTCTTACGATTTTCCCTGGCCTTCTCCTTGATCTTTACAACCCATCCCAAGGATCTTGTGTGCAAATACCTAACAGACAGGGCATCTAAACAGCATGTGAAAGGCTGTATCCTCCATACTTTCTTACGATTTTCCCTGGCCTTCTCCTTGATCTTTACAACCCATCCCAAGGATCTTGTGCGCAAATACCTAACAGACAGGGCATCTAAACAGCATGTGAAAGGCTGTATCCTCCATACTTTCTTACGATTTTCCCTGGCCTTCTCCTTGATCTTTACAACCCATCCCAAGGATCTTGTGCAAATACCTAACAGAGTGGGGCATCCAAACAGCATGTGAAAGGCTGTATCCTCCATACTTTCTTACGATTTTCCCTGGCCTTCTCCTTGATCTTTACAACCCATCCCAAGGATCTTGTGCAAATACCTAACAGACTGGGCATCTAAACAGTATGTGAAAGGGTGTTTCCTCCATACTTTCTTACGATTTCCCCTGGCCTTCTCCTTGATCTTTACAACCCATCCCAAGGATCTTGTGTGCAAATACCTAACAGACAGGACATCTAAACAGCATGTGAAAGGCTGTATCCTCCATACTTTCTTACGATTTTCCCTGGCCTTCTCCTTGATCTTTACAACCCATCCCAAGGATCTTGTGCAAATACCTAACAGAGTGGGGCATCCAAACAGCATGTGAAAGGCTGTATCCTCCATACTTTCTTCGATTTTCCCTGGCCTTCTCCTTGATCTTTACAACCCATCCCAAGGATCTTGTGCAAATACCTAACAGACTGGGCATCTAAACAGTATGTGAAAGGGTGTTTCCTCCGTACTTTCTTACAATTTTCCCTGGCCTTCTCCTTGATCTTTACAACCCATCCCAAGGATCTTGTGCAAATACCTAACAGACTGGGCATCTAAACAGTATGTGAAAGGCTGTTTCCTCCATACTTTATTACGATTTTCCCTGGCCTTCTCCTTGATCTTTACAACCCATCCCAAGGATCTTGTGCAAATACCTAACAGACTGGGCATCTAAACAGTATGTGAAAGGCTGTTTCCTCCGTACTTTCTTACGATTTTCCCTGGCCTTCTCCTTGATCTTTACAACCCATCCTACACATTTTACACAGGATATCCTCTTTACATGTGTAAAATATAATATAATCTGAAATGGTTGTGTAAAATATACAATTTTTATATCAGTTATATCTAGTTTGTTTTCTTATGGTTTCAAAATTCTTCTGTGAATAACATTTCTTCAGAAAAGTTTCCTTATCATATCAACCTTTTTGTTGTTTTTACCTTGCTTATTTTTAAGAAGACTTTGGAACCAGGTAATTTTGATGGAAAATAGCAAATAGAGTAATGTTGGTATTGAGGTCGCTAAACTTTTCTATTGGACTCAAGCCCACATGACTACAGAAAACTCATGAAACATTTCTTTGAAAGAGTTCAACTTAGTAATGTTGGTATAGAGGCCGCTAAACATTTCTGTTAAACTAAAGCCCAAGACAAGACTCCTGAAAACTCATGAAACATTTCTTTGAAAGAGTTCAACTTAGTAATGTTGGTATAGAGGCCGCTAAACATTTCTGTTAAACTAAAGCCCAAGACAAGACTCCTGAAAACTCATGAAACATTTCTTTGAAACAGGTCAACTTGAGCCCAGCCCTGGGCAATGATTGTGACGTCGACCCTGCAGTCAAGAAGCCTATGTTGCACGACATGTTTGACTTGTTGGGTCTGCCTGTTTGCAATACTGGACTGTCCCTCTTCACAATCTGGTCTGGAGAAACTATCCGAACCATATCTAACCAGAGCAGCAGGTAGAAATGTGTATTGGTTATTGATCATTTAACGATAGTACCTATATGAATCGTCATACAATACTCAAGCATAATACTTGGGAACTTAACACACATACAAATAACCTGTTGAAGATAGAGGTAATTTGTTTAATTCTGAAGCGTAACCTTTTGTGTTTAAGGAGGATTGAGTTAGAGATTTACTGAACCATTTTCGAATTGGATTATCGATACCTGACTTTAACCTTCATACTTTCAAATAAAGCTCAGAAATAACTCAATAGCTGTAGATAAAACTATTTAAAGTTAGAAGCCATGCTAGTTAGTAGATATCCTTTGTTTGGATATACCTTTGACAATTTGTAGAACTAAAAATGTAATGACATTCCCATGCTAAAGTTGTGGCCAGTTTTTGAATGAAAATTAGCAAGTGAAATTGAACCACTGACATGACTACGCTGTTATAAATGACTGATTTCTCTCCTCCACCGAGATATTTCCACAATGTCAAGTTGAAAGATCAACTCAAGTAAGCCTTAGCATCTTTTTCCCCCAAAATATTTCAGTATCAAAAAAGGGGGTAAATATTATTTTAGGCTGAAGAACTAACCACTATGAGTAGCTCATTCAAATTGGTTCTTTATTAGTAAACAGGCCACAGCTGGTTCATTCAGATGCAATGTTCACTCAAGTATCCAAAACTAAATGGTTCTACTTTCCCAATCACCTTTTACTTTTCCAGTCATAGCTACAAGCTGATTTTTCTTAGCTTTCATTCATTAAGTATGTTTTCCTTTCTAAACTATGTGGTGTTCTAGCTCACGCTCAACAACATCCATAGAAGACACGATCACTGGTGAAGAGGAAGAGGAAAAGACGCCCATTAGTGTCGGAGGGTGTGGAAGTAGCAGAGCTAGGTCTGCTCCGCATACAGCCGTAACCGTGGTAACCGTAGCAAATAGGTGGAGACGTAGAGGGCAGCCTGACCAGGGGCGCAAGAAGACAGCGAAAACCAATCACGAACCTCCACCCAGGCCTAAGACCCACCGGAAGCCAAGTGCTACGAGAATAGGAGCGTTCCTACCTACAGTGAACATCGGCGAGGAATACCATAGTCCGGAGGAATGGGCTACATGTAACGAAATTGTGACAAAGCACAACGGAACAAAGACTTATCGTAGGTCAAAATGTTCCCCTTCTGCACTCTGGGGGAACGGCCGAGATTGGAGGGATCCTCCAACCAAAGAAGGGGATTGGGTGAGAGTTTATCCTCTGGGACAAAAAGCTCTCGGTAGAAATACACTTTGGCACGACGAAACACCTGAACCCCACACCACAATGTTTGGAGATAAAGAAATAAAAACTATAGTGTCCAATGTAAGTAAGTGTTCAAAACTGGCAAAGGAAATATTCCAGAAAAACCCAACGGTAAGTGACGAAGAAAGAAATGCCTTACTGATGAAAAACTTAGGACTTGCCGGACTCGTTTGGTTACCGAATAACTAAAGCTACTATTTTAAACATTATTTACTTTAGTCACTAAACATCTGCCTCAGAGCTTTCAAAGTGAGCACTTTGAATATTCAAGTGGCTGCTGTTTTATTTATTGTGTTCATTTACTCATGTAATTAATGTTGATAAGAAGCTTTAGCTATGTAAATAAACAATATGTTGAACATTAACATAAGGCTCAAAGTCGTTTAACCCCATATTCTTAAAAGGGTTGGATAGCCGGTGTTTTGGGAGCTTTGAATATTAAAATAGTTAGAGTTACCTCACTTGCCTGAAGATATAAGTAAGTAAACTATTCTACTCTCAGCTTTGTTCATGCTAAAGGTGTTTTTTAATTGAACATGATAATGAGTGTACACACCAAGCAATTACTCAATTATATAATACACATAATAGGCATATTGTGTCTTTTTTTTGCTTATTTTATGTTTGTTGAAAATCACAAAATCGTTGCAATTATTTTAGTGAGATGATGCAAATTAATCCCCTCTCTCAACGCAATGTTGGAGTTTTATTAATTAAATATAGTAATCATTAATGAAAGCGGGACAAAATAAAATGTACTAACATATCAACAACATATCATAAAAACTAATTGTTAACCACATTTTTTTGGGGGGAAGCCTACATTTTTTTGATAAATTTATATTGAATGTCAATACAGAATACTGTTACTTCAGTAAAGAAAAAATATACATATGAATAAAAATAAACTAAGCAGGAAGGACGTCGTCAAACGTCACCAATAAGTACCGAGGAAATGTCCGCATTGAGGGACGCCAGTGTTCATGAGTACTCAAGAAGACGTTTACTAATCACCAATTCAAATTGCTTTAACTCGTACTATAGGCTACAGTTACTATTATATGCAAAACTTACTTTAATAAACAAAGTATCTAGTACAAGATAAAACACACAGTGTCCGGCAAAATAAGAGTGTGGCTGACAGACGACAGATCGTGCTAGCGTACGAAGGATAGTACAACGCAATCTGAGGAAAATATATCCCCAAGTGCACAAAATACCCCATGTGTTGCAGTCAAAGAGGTAATAAGAAGACGTAATTAAAATATCTTTAACAAGAACATATTTATTCTGATTATGTGACAGCCAAATTAACATAGTATACATATAAACAACAAAAGTATACATACTACAAACTAAATCCTGTGATAACAAGAAAGATTCTTTAGATATTTTGGCTGAAGAAATTATTAAACATTAAAAAACAACAGATGTACAAAAGGATGCAGTTTTAAACACAACCGTACTAATGGTTATTATTTTTTTATGTAGAAGATATGACATAAAATACAAAGTAAAGGCACATTCTGGTAGATTCCTAATTTTCTTAACAGTATAGAAAAAATATTACAAGACATCGTGCTTTAAATGATAAATTTCTAATATCACTTCATTACAGTTATAAGTTTTTATAATTGATCTACAATATAGACATGAGTCGTAGCACCTTCTTTTATCATCAATTCCTTACAACTTAGTTTTTATGTTAAAAGAGAATCCACTGAAGGCAAGTTCTATTTCATGTTTTATTTTCAGATGATTAGAAAAATAATAAACTCTTAATAATAACCTCTTAATAAAAATAATAACCTGTTCTGCATAGTAGCTGGGACCCATTATTGAGGAACATTACGTTTGTTCTATGTTTGTGTTACTGTAATTTGCCAGAATGTTAGTGAATGCAAAACAGAATATGTATACAGAACAAAATATAGTTTCTATTGACCAACCAACAGTGAAGGATTAGTGTTTTCAAATTGTCATATTTTTTTACTTCAACTATCACAAATAGTAATTAATAGTACAAGGTAACTAATTTTTAATAAATATTTACCAAAGTGAAATCACTAATAGACATTGCAAATATTTCACTAGCCTAGATAAATTTCTATATGAATTAACAATGTAAAACAAATTATGATTTTTATTCCTGCAATGATACTTAGGCCTACTACTAGCCTACAGTAAACAGGAAATAAGCCTTCAGAAGCTAAATAACCAAAGCGTATTGTACACTCTTCCAGTAAAAAAAAAAAAAAAAAAAAAAAAAAAAAAACTAAACCTAATTAAAACTAAAATCCCTGTGAAATGCTTCGACAGAATAATTGACTTGTGACTAGAATAAAATGGGTTTAACATTTTATTGTTGAATGCCAAAGACAACCGATAGTAAAGTAAAATTCATGGTAACTTCAAGTGACAAGAATTGTGTCAAATATTTAAAATCGTCTTTTCCTAAAAAGTAAATTGTAACAAATAGTTTCAGCTGTACCCGCTTATAATGTAAATTATTAGCTTTGGTTTTTGTCAATTCTAACAGTTTATCATTTTTCCTCCCGCTATAATTCTAGAAAATTGTATACATCGGGAAAAACTAAATAAAAATTATTTTATCTATATGTAATGCTTAACAATTATTTTTAAACAATTTCAAAAGTTTAACTATTATTTTTGGTAGAATTTTTAAATAAATAAACTATTTAAAAATAAAATCAGCCTTTAAAGGAACTATGAACATAAAATAAAATATTATCTGATAACAACCAACCTTTTAGTGTCCTGAACAGCAATTCGTAGTGGAGGCCAACTGGAGGGCTATAGCCGCCAGAGATTGTTTCCCTATTGCACTCCCTTTACAACAGCCTTGTTCTAGAACTTTCCTCAGTTGGTTCATAGTCTTCAAGCAAACAGTAACACAGCAGTTTTGAACCTTTTTACCTTCTTTAGTACACTCACACTTGTCATCAGCTGATCCACAACTCCCACTGGAACTTGCTGAAGCTTGAGGCGTGTTGGTCGAATCTCTATTACTCCCTGAAGGGATTGTGTATTCAGTTTGTTCAAGTGTTTCCTCAGAGCTTAACAACCCCACAGCATCCTCCAAAACCAAATTGTTATTCTCCATGTTTCTCCATAGCTCTGTAATATCTTCGTTTGCTGCAGAGCTATTTTCTGCGGGGTTTCTGTTTGTGTCTTTACTGAAAGACGAGTCAGACTTATGGTTTGTACCAGGAACGTCTTCAGTTGTTGTCGATTCTTCAGGTTGATTTGGTTTGCCTTTCCTCATTATTTCATTCCACTGCAACTCCAGTATATCTAATTGAGGACTAATGACGATTTCACCTACTGAAGAAATGTCTTCCCATTCAGATTGCTTTCCAAGTTCCATGATTATTGTCTCTGGGTCTACATCGGGTGATATGTTTCCAGCCGAATGATTCAGAGAGGGTGCCTCTGGAGCAGTGTTTGTGACAAACGTTGCTGGTAATGAGCTACCAGTTTGTGAATCCTTGTTAGCAACCTCACTGATGAGGTTCAGTGTGATTAATTCCTTCCCTTTCTTCACATGACTGTTTTCAAAGCCAACGTTTGGCAGAATGGATAGATTTGTTGTCGGTTCATTGTTATTAGCTTTCGTAATACCCTGTACTTCTATCTCACCATCACCGTTGATTTCAAACATGATTGGTTCAAAACCACTTTCAGATATTATCTGGGAAGATTTACAAACGTTTTCTTGATTTGCATCCGATGACACCGAAGAGGCCAAATATGAAGAAATATCCCCTGTAACATTTGGTTTTGAATTAATTTATTAGCCTATTATATTAATCACATTTGTGATGTTTCGATCAAAGATAAGTGAGCAATTTAAACACAAATAAAAGTACTGTACTGAATAATTAGTGAAACTAAATTACATTGTTGAACAAAAAAAGCTGATTGATTAGATCTTGCCTCGTTTAGTAAAATATTGACCAACCAAACTAAATAACAACTGTAATATTTTAAATTACTAATGTTAATGTAAATAATGGTATTGAATATTTAGACAATTGGACAATAGTCCACAGTTGCTACAGAGGGGTGTAAAGCTTACTTAGTTCTTTCCAGAGAAGAATGAGAGAGAACTAAAACAGAGTGGGAGAGAGATCCCTTTTCTCCGTTAGGTTAGGCCTATATCAGAAGGTTAGGTTAGCTTCGTCATTTTGTTAAGGGGAAAGCTTACCATAATTGTTGGGGAGATTGTTGTAAAATTGTATAAAATATACCTGTTGAACTGGATAAAGGGTCTTCCGTAACATCTTCTATGTCAGAAGGATTATCTTCAACATCAGAACAATCCTCAGCTTCTGCCACTGTGACAAGGTCCTGAAAATAAATGTAAATCAAAACAATCGTATAAATGTAACCATGTAACTTACTAATAATTTTTTCAATTAAAAAGTCACAAAAAAATGATGTGTCTAAAATAAGTGTTTACAAAACTGTTAAAAGCATGTTGTGAGTTATTGAAGTATAAACAATTTGATATCATTCACTCAAAATATTTAAAGAGATAAACAATTTTCCAGTTAAAAGCTATTAACCAAAAATGTGCAATGCATAAGATGAAAATTTAGTAATACACTTGCAGATTTATGGAAGGAAGAATTTAAATACAGTATTCTAATTACCAATAGTTCGTCCGTTTGGCAATGATACCCAGCGGATTAGGAACCTTCTTGGAACTCAACTCACCCTCTCGACCTGCTGGCTGGAGACAAACAGTGACTCACCCACTGTCACAGTTGTGTCCCACAATTCTGTAACTTTTTTTATTTTAAGTTAAAATAAATTGTTCTTTATAAATTTTAGTTCTACTCTACATGAAATTCCAAAAATAATGAGCACGAACACGATGTGGGTACTAAATATCTACGATCTGAAAGTAGTACAATTACTCTGAATCGTCACCAGTTTTATCCGACTTTCAGATCGTACATATTAAGTATCCACATCGTGTTTGGACTCATTATTTTAGGAATTTCATGTAGAACTCAAATATATAGAGAACAATTTATTTTTAACTTAAAAAAAGTTACAGATCTGTGGAACTGTGACAGTAGGTAGGTAAACTTTTTATCAAAGGCCATTCCGCCTGGCAAGCGGGTCGGGAGGGTGAGTTGAGTTCCGAGAAGGTTCCTAATCTGCTGGATATCATAGCCAAACGGACGGACTATAGGTCAAACCAATGTCCATCAGATTACTGTGTGAGATCTTGAGCTCCATATAGTATTCACTCTTAATTTTTATCCCATCATGCCAAGTAATTAACCACACTGCTCATTATGATCTAAATTTTTTTTACATAAGTGGTATTTTTAAGCTTCTTTTAATGAACCTCTAAATCATAATGTCTAGTTGCTGTCTAATGTCGATCTTTTGCTAGATATACTGGGTCCACAATCAATCCAGAGCAACCTTGGAAGGTAAGCACTGTAACCACTCATTGTCTATGTTTACTCACCGCAAGGTTACCGTGAGTCGCGCAGTGTTTCAACAAGCCCTGTTTGTCCATGAAGGTTCGTCTGCAGCCGTTGTGTGGACAGACCATTGGTCGCTGACCCGTGTGTGTACGGATGTGAGTCTTTAGATGATGGGAAGCTGTGAATGCTTTGCCACAACCATTCTCTCCACACCTACGATATCAAATATGTGAAGTAGATTGGGTGAAAATAGCAAGTTGTGTCATGAATTGTACTAGTGATGTGGTAAAGCAAATTTTCAATAACCTGAATTTAAAAGGAAAGTTTTAGTTCAAGATTAGATTGGCTGGATTCAAGCACTGAATCTCGAATTTCATTACACTTGACATTTGTCTGAGCATCTCACATAATTGATTTAATTTTACTTTAAAATCTGAAAAATATGTTTCATTTAGCTTTAAAATTTGTAAATAGTTTAGGAAAATTACATACTTCTTTAAAGTAACAGTAAAACATTTTCCTACGCTAGAATGATTGTTTCTTTTGAACATTTCTGCCAACATTCACACAAGAGCTGTCAATAGATACATTTATGTTTCACTCACTTGTAAGGTCGCTCCTGTGTGTGTGTTCGAATGTGTTTCTTGAGATCACTGTGGGTCGTGAAGTACTTTCCGCAGCCGCTGAAAATACAGTTGAACGTGTCTCCATTGTGCAGTCTTTGATGGGCTCTCAGTCTGAAAGTATCCGACAAACTATTAGAATACCTATCTATATATATATACGCAAGCAGTTTTCCTTTTGGAGTTATAACTCAACAACGACTGGACGGATTTTTGTTTGAGGTGTCAAATTAAAGGTATTTTCTATACCTTTAAGTATGAGGAAATAGCTAAAAACTACTTATTTGAAAAAAATAGCAAAACGGCCATTGGTGACCTGCATGTTTATAGGATACCCCACTAACAATCATTAAAAAGTAAACGAAAGTCTAACAAAATACAATTTATTGGCCTAGCACTAAAAGGGTTAATCCTGTGGAGACTGGATGAAAGCTTACTATTGTTTTACTGTTGTAAATACAGTATTCACAGCAGTTCCCAACAAATTATACATTACTTCACCAATCAACTTTTGGTGTACACTACCTGTAAAGTGTATTGAAGGCCTTTTCACAGCCATCATGGCTACAGTTGAAAGGTTTCACTTTGGTGTGAACTCGAACATGAATCTTCAGGCTATAGGACGTCAGAAAGGCTTTCCCACAATTTGGCTGTGCGCACTTAAACTTGTATTCTCCTATAGAGAAAAATGGAAACAATAGAAAAACTGATCAAAAAGTGATTATCAAAATTTGAAGAAAATAATGAGGTTGGTTAAGGATGATAAAGAGATTGGTATACAATACAATTCTTCTAAGCAACAGTTTCATTTCAAGAATCTTTTACGTAGCATACACCACAGAGTGAAAAATTGGGAGAGGCAAAAACAATTACAAATGAAAGCTTACGTGCAACAGGTTAAACAGTGTTCTACTAGCGCAAAATAATGTCCGGGTGCTTGGGGAGAAAGAAAGCATCATAAAAGTTACAATCACAAACTGTAAAGGTAAGTATGTATGTAAATTAACTTTGTAAATTGGTGATCTTGCTGTTGGAATGGATTTGGTGATGTTTTAACAAATTCTACATATCATGCATTTAATTTTCTCTTTCTCTAAAAGCTGGGGGCTTCCACCTCACCCCCCCCCCCCCCCCCCAATTGCCATCGAGTGTGGGCGCCCTTCAATATGGGTTTTCTCCTAACACTTAGGCCTACTAAGTATTTAAAATTTAACTATTAATTGTCTCCATCTTAAGATAGCTTCTGATTTCAAAGTCGTGAGGCTGTGTCTAGTACAGCTGTGGTGTCAGTTTTCAACAGGTCAAAGACAACCCATGTGATGAAAAACAGAAGACGATTTTCAATTTAGCGGGAATTGCGACCAAATCATACAAAGAAGATCATACAATCATTATGATACAAGTTAAATAAAAACCTGGCTACTGATAAAATGTAAGCTAAACTAATAACTGTTAAAACAAATTTAATGCTGTGTTACATTACAGGAAGTACTGTGATGGAGGTATGGTCTGGTAAAAATGTAAAGGTGATTCTCCAACCAAGCAAAGGTACACAGTAAAACCACACTAACTCTACAATTTGTGGACCCAGAGGTTGTTGAGTTTGGAGTTGTTGGGCAATCTAAAACATTGAATTTTTTTATAAATGAATCCCTGACTGACTAATTTTTATTACATATAAATTCATTACTTAAATAATATGTATTTTTACATATTACGTAAACAATTTTCAAAGAAATCTAAAATATTAAAGAATTATGCAAAACTAAATGTTCTGAAAAAAAATAAATTTTAATTTTGCATGCACCCTGCACCCTGTTGAGTTACCGGGTGTCGAGTTAATGAGGAATTAATGTAACAAGGAAACTACTGGAAAAAGAAAATTTAGAACAAAGGTGAGAAATGGCCCTATAGGTGTTAAATCTCAATAACAAAACTTCAAACAAACACAGCTTAGAGAGCTTTTAGTGGTTCATAAAATAAAACGTAATTACCAAGTTATGAAGACAAGTCAAGCGAAGCAGAAGATCCCGAAACAGGCCTGACACAGAGTTGGTTTTAGCATTGTTAGCAAAACATATTCAACACTAACGTTAGTAAAATTCAGCCTGAGCGAGTGGTGACACAGTTTACACCGATGTATGGTTTAAAGTTTAAAAAACATTGGTTGTAAGAACAAACAATATTTTGCAGCCCAACAAATGGTTGAGCTGATTTGAGATTTTATGTGGGATAAATTGATTGTGGTATTAATTATTTCTGCAAAAAGCGTTCGAGCAAAGCATGATAAGGGAGCACAGTAGGCAAGACACTCAAGCAAAATAGTTATTTTTAAGTTAATTTGATTACCTACCAAAACACAAACCTGTTTAGCCTTAATACATTAAGCAGGACACATTTAATAGAATCTCACCTAAACTATGAAATTAATTTATTGACTTAATGTAATGTTAATTCTCTAAGGCATTAAACAAAGAAGGAGGGCTCTGGAACTGGTAGGAGATGAAAGGTACGGTAATTAATCAAGTTTTAATTATGAAAAACCATAAGTGGCCTATCGTACTATCGATTCTTAATGTGACTGTTTTTTTTTTTCATTTAGAAGGTTTGAGTACCGGTATGGTATTATAGATCTAAAGCTATAAGTTAGGGAACCTTTTTTACAAAGGTCACTTTCATGTTCTGTTGGCAGCTAAACCATAGTTAAAACATAGGGTACTCCTTAGTTTGTCATCCTTATAGAACAGCTGACGTCAATTTTATTGTTAGTTCTGTACGTCGCTCTGTAGGGGTCATGTTTTGTTTAGGCTACAATTAATTAGCGTCTTGTTATTTCAGTTATTTAAAATCTTATTTTCACAGGCTGTTGTTGCTTGAACCTCTGTAACCAAATAAAACGATCCAATCATAAACAATACCGTAACTGTTCTCCTAGTTATATAACCAAATCGTAAAGAAAAAATTATGAAACTAAACCTAAAATAATAGAAACAAATTTCGTCTACACTAGCGATCAGAGTTGTCATACATGAAATAGACACGAAAAACAAGCTTCACAATTTACAATGGGATGAGAAGTCTACTTGTGCTGCTTTGTCTATGGCTAAACTTAGCGCACCCAGTCTAAAGCCTATTAACTCTGTCAAGCATGTATCAGACAGTTATTGTATTTTAGGCGTGTTACTATAGCCTTCAGTGGTTGACGTCTTAAACTACAGTGTTAGAGGGACGGGTTCGATTCCCAGCACAGCCATTTTCCTATGGATTATGGACCATGTAAAAAAAAAAGCGTTTGAGTTTTTAATTGTAGGTACCTCCTTGAAAAATAAGATAAAATAACTCACCTTTATGAGTTTTCATGTGAGTTCTAAGATTTCCTACAGTAGTGTATCTGCGTTCACATCCGTTGTATTCACACTGAAATTTCTTTACTTGTTTTTGCATAGTCATCGGATCAGTAGTTTCAACAGTAATGGTCGCATGTGACGGAAACTCTGGCATTGCCGAAGAATTTCCTACAGCTATACGCATTTCTATTTCATCTGAACTAATTTTGTGATGTATAAACCTACAACAATAAGTGTACTATTATAACAGGCCCACTATTGTAGTACTGGCATGAAACCTTAATCTAGACTATAACTTAGGTATTTAAAATAAATAATAAGTTACGGTAGGCATAACTTACTTTGGCCTAAAATTATAATTTGCAAAGGATACGCGTCTTGTAACCGGACGTGGAGTAGGTGTCCAGCAGTTACTGACCTAACCTAACTAACCAAACTTGCAGATAATGAAAAAATCGAATGAAGGTTAAATTCTGTTCATAAAATAAAATTATAAATGCTAAAAATTCTAACAAAAGATGTACAGTTAAGAGGAATTGGCATTCAAAGCAAAATCTTTAACAAAAAGTTAAAGTTACCACCCATGGGATTTGAACCAGGGACCTCTTGCATATCAGCCGAACGGCCGAGCACTCTATCCACTACACCATGAACGCCGATGTCTGTACATCGTATCATTGTGGTAATGGCGTTCCGGGACCCCACAACCTGGTGATGTCACTGCTGGACGCCTAATTCCACGTCCGTTTACCGGACGCGTATCCTCTGTGATTATAATTAGCGATCACACAGGTTGCCTAGCTTGTATGAAAAAAAACAAAACACACAACACAACATTGTTTGTAAAACAGCCTGTTTGGTTGTCACTTTAGATGTCGGCCCTAACTTAAAACAAATTTTCAGAAGTAACTTAAACCCAAAATAAAATTATATCGATCACAATAATCAATAATAATTATATCGATCGGTAATTATATCGATCACAAACGGTACGATAAAATAATATTACTTCATAATTTTAAACCCATTAAATATAGGCTAGAAGATATTTAAGTTAAGCACAACTTACCCTGCCTCTTTGTTGTTATGGTCGATTCTAGCAATATATGTAGTTGTTGCTTGAGGTGTATTGTGGTTCAAAATGTTAGCAGTGTATATTGGACTCTGTTCAAAAGCTGTATCAAAGTTCGGTATTTCAAGGAATTCCATGTTACTAGAAAAATCTTGGAATTGTGGAAGATCTTCACCTAAACTGAACTCGTTATTTTGATCCATTTGTTTCTTTGTACGGTTCCTGTAACAAATGTTGAGATATTTAATTAATTACAACTCTAACAGATAATAAAACCAATTGAGGGTAAATCCCTGAACGAGACTATGAGTCTCTTGCTTTAGAACTATTTAGAAGGAAAAACATACAGTTTATTTATGGCCAATAGATGTTGCATTAAGTCAACATTGTAAAGAGCAGGGCCAAAACACATAATATTGAAACAATGAGTTACAGACCAACTAAAAAGAAATGTATTCTAACTAAACTTATGATGAATGAATAATTAATTATGGAGTAAAACATTTTGATAATGATACCTGAAGGTAATTCAATTGAACAAAATGGTGTGTGTACACTTCATAACACAAAACAGCTGTCTGTAGTCTGCACTGATTTCTGCTGAAAGTGAAAGATTCGAAAAGGGAAAACAAATTGCTTAAAAACATATGACTGAGACGACCCTACATCTGCATGGCTCAATGCCACAGGAAATAAGCTAAATTAATACCATCATTGATTATATATTCTGTATTCAAATTTTATAAATACTATACAATGGTTGATTATACTATATCAATAACATAAAAAGGTCTTAAAACATTCCTAAGGATCAAATCTGAAATTTCTTGAGCTAACACAATAATAATTTTGAATGGACTGAAATTACCGTAGTTAAATTTGAATAAGCCTTAGTTATTAAATAATTTAGTACTTTTAATACTTTTTAATAAAATGGCGACCATACAAAGTAGGTATTTTAAGCCAAGTATGAATGGAGATGAGTGTAGGATGAGTGGCTCGATCTGTTAGTCTTGTTAGTGACTAAGGCCGACATATTCCTTAGACACAGATGTTAATTAATATCATCCCATACAGCTAATGGCAGCTAAGGGACCTGCAGTTTATAATGGAATCCGAACCACATTTTTACCTAGTCAAAGCTATAACCAAAGATTACATATGCTGCATGCTGCATGTGTAATCTTTGCTATAACTAACGAATTGGTCTATCAGAATAGTATTGAGGGTAGTCGTAGTACTCATCACTAGTACCACAGAAAACGTACTACTATCTATAACCCAGAATGCCAACCGCATGGTAAAAAGCATTAAGCGGTTTGAGAGAGCTTTGCCTGTCAATCCGTAGGCAGCGCCACCAGCGTTGCCATGCAATAGCATAGCGACGCTGGTGGCGCTGCCTACGGATTGACAGGCAAAGCTCTCTCAAAACACCTAATGCTTTTTACCATGCGGTTGGCATTCTAGTACGTTTTCTGTGCTAGTACGGACGTTAAGCCACACCAGGGAGTATTGCATCCACAGTGCGTGCCTATAAATATCCACAATTCGTGACCTACTAGTAGGTGGATTACAAGACGTCGCTACCGTCCCAAACAAACAACAGGAGACGATAAAGAACAATGTTATACATGTTTATAAGGGTAGCATACAATAATTGCGAGTAAATATAACTCCTAGAACTAAATTATTTTAATTAAATCGGTCACAGTCCCAAGTTATTGAAAAACCGACGATCAAGCGATAAATAACTAAACCGAGCTATCAAAATACAAAGTGATTTGTTTACGAAGATTTTCGAGTAAATATCGGTTTGATATCAGCCATCCAAAAATGCTTGTAGGTACCGAATATATTTATTTACCTTTTTTGTAATATTTAAGGGATTCAGCAAGTTAGTGCTTTGTTCATTTCGATATAAAGCTAGAGGATTAGCAATGGTTTGAAAAAAATGATACTATATGACATACCCCTCTTTACCGTATTGGTTAGTCTATGTAATTCTGTGGAACTAATTAAAAATATTAATATTAATTATATTACAACATAATCCTCTTAATTAACTTAGTATTTAAAACTTTGAGCTAAATCCAAATTAACACTAATCCGAAGTCCCTCCTTCACTAGCATTTGACTTTTTATACATACAGATTTGGAACCAAGAAAAATAATTATTATTTCATTTCCCAAACCATCAGGTGGTCATTGGCAAAATCTTTATTCTCTCTTACTCTCTCTCTCTCCCTCCCACTGCCAGTTAGCCAGTTCAGTTGGAGTTGAGTTGGTGTCAAAATTAGTGATGGGAGAATCGAATACTTTAAAGAATCGAATACAGTGAATTCGTAGCCTCCCCTGTATTCGAATACTTTTACGAATACTTGTATTCGAACACCTTTTAGTATGCAAAGCATGGAAAATGAGTGTGTAATTCTTTTTTCATATTGCAACGGTTCTTTTGGCCACTGTTATTTCGTTTTACAGCAATTAATTCATTAATATAATTTATTCAATGTAATTTTAAATGATATGATTTTTAAAAGGTACATTTATTTTGACTTATAATTATTTCATGGTCAGTTACAGTCTTATTAATGTATTATTTTCTATTATATTAACTAATTAATATCTTTAATAATATGTCTTACGGATAATTTACATCAGATATGCATGTTATTTTGCCATGTAACTAAAAAAATCGGTTGTAGTTATAATAAATTCTATTCAGTTGCCCTCTACCAGTAGTAACCTAATATTTTAAATATCCAATATATTCTAATGTTATCGATTAATAATAATCTTATGTAAATTATAGGGCTAATGGTAAAATTATAACGAATAGATGAAAACAAATGCTGCAGTAAAAACATCAAATACTCTTACTAATGCTACGGATTCGTAAGATATTCAAAAGGGAATTCAGTACAGTTGAAAACGAGTTGAATACATTTTTGAATCCCCCGAATTCGCTTTCTAGATTCAAGAAATCCTGCAAAACCTGAGGTCAAGAGTATTCACAAAAAAGTATTCGTACGAATTTGAAGTATTCGAATCTACGAATACTCGGGCTGTATTCGAATACTATTCGATTCTGTATTCGATTCTCCCATCACTAGTCAAAATGGCGGACGGTATCTTCAGGTTAGCATAAGTTCTCTCATTTCGTTAAACTAAAGTGATCCAAAGTGAAACTTTTGTTTGTGTAGTGAATCCTGTTTCGTGAATTAATAGTCTCCATTAAGTGAAATAGTGTTTTGTGTTGTTTGAGGCAATGAAAAGTGGCCCAGTTCCTTATTTCATTGTTTTGATGCCGCAAGAGAACCAACAAGACAAGTGTCATAACACTGACCACCTGTCACTTATTTTTGCTTGCTCAGCGTTAATCAAATACAATAGCACATTTTCAGATAAAATTGTATTAGTAGGATCTAGAATCCATTCCAAAATAAACGAATGCCTCCGTTATTAACGTCCATGGAACACGCCAAGACTGTTTATGTGAACACCAATGGCCGAGATGTCTACCATAGTCGTACTTCCCCCCAAAACACAATTAGTACATATCAGCAATCTAGCAATAACATTAAGCAAATTAGTAGTCCTCACCTTGTGCGTAGGAGTGAAAGTGCAAGTAGGAAAGTAACTTTATCACTTTGGACAGCACTCTATGATTATGATGCACAAGGAGAGGATGAACTTAGCCTCAGAAGAGGAGACATCGTTGAAGTCCTTTCTCAAGATTCCAATATATCCGGCGATGAAGGGTGGTGGACCGGAAAGGTTGGGGAGAAGGTGGGCATATTTCCTTCAAATTTTGTCACAGAGCAGAATATCATCGACCATGTTTCCAACGTGATAAGTGATATCCAGCCAATCGAAATTGACTTTAGTGAATTAGTTCTTGAAGAAGTAATTGGTGTAGGTGGTTTCGGTAAGGTTTATCGCGGTTATTGGAATAATCTAGAGGTTGCTGTGAAAGCAGCTCGACAAGATCCGGATGAAGACATTTCTGTGACGCTAGAAAATGTTAGGAAAGAAGCAAAACTTTTTTGGTTACTTAAGCATGAAAATATTGTTTCTCTGGAGGGAGTATGTTTACAAATGCCAAACATGTGCCTAGTGATGGAATATGCTCGTGGTGGATCTCTGAATAGAGTGTTAGCCGGACGTAAAATTAGACCAGATGTGCTTGTGGACTGGGCCATCCAAATTGCCAGAGGAATGAACTACCTCCACAATCAGGCACCAATTTCTCTAATTCATCGTGATTTGAAGTCTTCTAATGGTGAGTTCAGTAGGCTAAGCAAGTCACATTTTATTATTAAGGTAAACTTGTTTTTAAAATGGTAGAAGAGTAGGCCTACCCTAATTGAATTTCTGTAGGTAGGTAGGACCTTTGAACCTAATGTAGCTTAAAAAGGTACCTAAATATAACTTATTGACTCAAGTCACACCTAACTGCTATGATGGATTGTCGATGGATAACTTAGGCTAGACCGATTTATAGACCTGGCATGTTGCAGTAGTCAAGTAGGGTGCCACCAAAAAAGAGAACGGGAATATTGTACCGACCACCTATTGGTGGTGAGGAGTGACTTTAAATTTCCTATCGTCCCTAGACTGCCCCACAAACCCCCTAGATCAATCAAAGGCAAAACTTTAAACATTTTTCAATGTGTTTAAGATGGGTACATTTTTTACATTAATAACTATGAACTCTAGTTTCTTTTTCACTAAAATGTTGGTGAATGTGTTTTGTAAAATCTGTTGAAACCAATATTAACATAATGTAGAATGGACACTAGTAGGCCTAGATAGCCTATTAGTGTTAAATCTTTATAGGCCAAAACTTTGCAGTGTAAGATTGTAAAAAGTTTGAATTTTGCATGCTAATTCTGACGGGTCGCCGAAATTGTACCTCCCCTGCCGATCGACAATGTCATTTTCACGTTAAACACCTAGAGAGGGTACAAACCTACACCCTGTAGGGTACATTGATTTTGATGGAATTTAATATGATTAATGTAAGTTAGGCAAGTGATTAGTGAACGGGATGATTATAGGCCTACGGTACCTATTTGAAATTAAAAAAGAGCAGGAGATCTCCGGCCCGATTTTTACCCTCTGGATTTGTACCCCTGCCACTATCCAATTAGCCTACTTATGTACAGGGTAGAATTTTACCACCTTAAGTTCCTGGAAAACCTAATGTGTACGGCCCGAAATAGTACCCCCTCCTTCCAGTATGTAGGCTAGGTAACATCTTCAAAGTCGTCTTTTAATAAACTTATGTGGTAAGTACCTTAGCAAATAACTTACTGACCTCTTATAAGTTAGGTTTATTGGTTTTAATTTCTTGATTAAGCCAATTATTTTCACGGACATGTGATGTAACCAAATATTAGGTCTATCTTAGGCTATCGGCTAGTTTATGTTTAAAATTTAAGCTGATTTGGGAAAAATGTATTTTGCAATCCTTTAGGCTAATGGATATTAATGTCTTAGGTCCAAATAAACTTTGAATTAATTTGAATTTTAATCTGAAACCACAGTATATTTTGCTTTAAAAGATGATTTGTAAAACCAATGAAC